AGAACTCAAAGAAACCAAAAAACTAGACAGTATAAATAATATAAACTCAAAAGCCCTGGGTCGACGACCCAGGCATCCTAACACCTTCAGCAAAAGACGAATACCTGTCTTTTAGATGTCAGCTCCATTATACGCTACTGTTGATTCCTCTCTGCCTCCCGGGGAGACTGAAAGGCCCTTTAGTTTTTGCATCAGCAGATTGTTCAGTGTGTCAGACAAATTGCCATCCCTCCACGTTAAATTAGGGGCTGTCACTTCCATGCCTAGCAGCCATAGAGAATTGAGGTAATGAGCTGAGACGTCTTTGGTCTTCAGATTGACAATTCCGTCTTGTTTTGGAGCCGTTAGAATACCAGTAAAGCAAATGTACACCTCGCACCTTGAGCCCGTCTCACCCCATCGAGTCATTGCAACCCGAGATTCATGTTTGAATTTCCAGTCTCCAGTAATGTCACTGACGTGCATCCATTTCTAGTTTTTCTAATCTTCCCTTGCAGGAGCGTCGCTTTCTTATAATACCCATCTATTATTTCATAAACACGCGCCCTTTCTCACCTCACTGGTTCTCCTCCATCAGTCATATAGACACACTCACTGTTCCATCCTGCCTCCACGCTGCATACATCTGTGTGATGGCACGCGGTCTCTGTGTGCCACCCACACGCATGCCTTCATTACATTTGTTGCCTCCAATTAGGGTGGAATTATATCATCAAACCAAAGGGTGTGTATATGTGTAAAAGGAAACATTGCTTTAGAGTGTGTAAAAATACATCTGGCCCAGTGGTGTAGTATTTTTTTTTTTTGGTGAATGTAAAGGTTTGGTATGAAAGAGGCCGCTTTACAGTTTACATAAAATGTTTGCAGCTAATAAGCACAGCCCAGAATCGGTTCTGGTTTAAAGGCATTTTGTGTTACTGACTCTGGTAAGCTAGTGGCAGTAATAAATGTATAAATACTTTTCATATAAAGTATTTCTATGCTCAGCACATGATGGACTGGATTTTGGATTTCCTTTTCCTTTCCTTGTTTCTTTGTAGGTGATTAACACCAAAAAGAAAATGAAGAAAAAGAAATATGTCAACTCTGGAACAGTGAGTACAGTTTCAACACTAATCAGGGCTGACAGACTGCCGCTTTTCTGTTTCACACCTACTTTTCTTCTGTTAATGATTCCCTCTTTAATTTTCATGCAAGTGTTGTGGAAGACTTTGGAAGGTGTGCTTTCTATATCTGGACAACAGCATGAAGCACTGTACATGTTCTCTTTAATTGTCCACAGACCTGTTAATTAAACATGACGCACGATTGAGGCTACGTCTACACTAATACACCGGATAATTTGAAAACGGCGTTTTTGTCTAAAAACGTTGTTTTCAAGCGTCTCTGACCAGTTGTTCACCCACACTGAAATGATCAAAAACGTTACGTTCCTGTCTTGCACATGGGTGAAAACGTAAGATGATTCGACCTGCCTCATTTCTGTCTGCTGTTTATTTACTTTCTGGCTCTTTGACGTTGCGGCAAAATGTCAAGGACAAGCACAGAGTTTTTTAAATGGACTAACAATGAGGTGGAGTTCTTGCTGCGAGTAACACAAAAGTACAAAGTTGCAAAAGCGATTGAGATTTAAAGAATTTGAAGAAAAGCTATATGTAGGATGTACAGACTGATATAAATCTTAAATAGGGCTGTCAAAATTGAGAGCAAACAAAACAACTGCTGTGTAATGCCCTCCATAATCTTAGTTTAACTGGTCACATGACTGCGACACATGACTAAAATACATCATCGTTTTCAAAAAGTCTCCGGGTTCGCTGTCCACACTGCGACGCGAAAACGCCGTTTTCAAATGTATCCGCTTTGGAGAGCGTTTTCAAAACGCGGTGTTTTCCTTGACTCAAAACGCCGTCTCAGTGTGGACGGGAGGCCAAAACGGAGAGATTTTAAAACAAAAACGTATTAGTGTGGGCATGGCCTGAGTATATGGTACTTTAGGTAATTATGTTAAAAGAGAAATTTTATAATAAAAATGTATATGAGCGGGACAAAAGAAGGCTGACAGAACCTTAAAGACATGTGTTGAGTAGCCACCACCAGCAGCCATTTGTGACATTTGTGATTTCAACAGAGCTTACCTAGCAGCGTGGCTGTGAACACGTAATGCGTACAAATTTATCTCATTTTCTCTTCAAACATCTCCTCCGGCAATGCAAATGAGTCTTTCATCAGAAAGCGGCCGGCTCACATCTTTTACCAGAGAGAGCATAAAGTGCTCAACTAAGACATGATGTGGAGTTTATTTTGGATTAAGGGGAAAACATCAATACCTCTGCATTTAATCAAGTGTCTATCCTTGTCTTTAATTTCAGGTGACCCTGCTTTCCTTCTCAGTGGAGTCGGAGTTCACCTTCTTAGATTACATTAAAGGAGGGTGAGTGGGAATGACCACCTTCAAACTGAAAGAAACCATGAAATTGCCTTTTACTTGTATTGCCTTACTATGACTAAAAGCCTGTCATAAATAACGCCTCTGTCGAAGCATAAATCAAGGGAGGGAACATTTATAACTAATGCAGAAATACTTGGGTGGTTTCATCTTTGCACTTAATGATGCAGAGTGAGGTCACCGTTAAATATTTGTTGATTTCCCAGAAGTTGAAAGCTCAGCATCATATTTATTCAACCATGCTTGAAACACAAGCCTCTTGGCACATTTGTAGGACACTGAATAATATCAACATGTTCCTTTCCGATATTTTCTTGTTTTCCAGCTCTGATTATTCTCCAAGAACTCTGTAGAAAAATATCTGGCACTTTAATGTTCAAACAATAATTTGAGCCTTTGTTAACATACCAAAAACCGTCTGTGTGGTCTTCATTAAAAATGTTATTAAAATACTTTCCTATCTTTCATGCAGAGGGATCAAAAGTCCAATGTTCCACTGCAACTTTGTTAAACTGACTAATAAGTTCATAGCTGGAGTTATCTGGGGCATTGAAACTCCAAATGTATATTTAATGAGTTCTAAAAGATAAACGGTACAGTACCAGCCCTCCAACTTCAGTTAAGCTTTAACACCGGAGGCTGACGTGTGAATATCAAGTCTTTTTCAGGTGAAGTGTGTCTTTCAGGCGGATTGGGCTGTGCTTTGATCTCAAATGTCCCACAACAGCAGGGCAGCTGTCAGAGTTTTTATGTGCTGTGGCAGAGCTGACAAGTGTGACACATTTCGCTGACAGTTCCTGGCGTTGGCTGATTTATGATACAATAACCTTAAAGTTTAGTGGCCTCTCTTCAGAAATATCATCCTCATCAGTCTGGCCCCTAACATTACTGTGGTGCTTACTGAAAGACATCTGAGAGCTGGTTCTTGCAAATGTGAAGGCTCTTTTGAAAATGGATGTAAGTTTGTGAAAGTGTGCCACTTAAGCTGTCCAAACCCTTTGTAACCACAAAACAGGAGAAACACCTCCATCACTGCCGTCGTTTCTGCTCCAGCTGTTAAAGCACTTTTCTGTAATATTTAGCTTTACAGCTTTCATCGGGATAAAAGTTGAAGTATGCCTGCTTTTACATCTCATTTTAAAGCCACTGTAATCATAAAAGAGCAAGAACAATCTGACTATTCAAACAGCTTAAAAGCTTTCCACGTCAGTGTAGATCTCTTTCAAACTCAGCAGCACAGAGACCGTAAAGAGGTTAAAGACTGAGAGGACATATGAGGAAAATCGTTCAAACATACCTTTTTACCAATCACAAATTTGAAATAGGATGTGTAACAATTGTATTGTTGTGAATTAACATAAATGCAACACAAACTGTTCCCAGCGACCTGTAGGGCGAGAACAGAAGAACGTGCATAATCGATGCAGCTTGCAGAAACATACTGTGTATTTTTTTGTTCTAAATAATTATCAGTAAGTAGAGGAATATTTTAACTAGCAGCTTGCAAAACGCAGTAGTGTTGTGGTTGTGTTATTAATTGAAACTTCAGACATGCCGTGTGTGACAAATGTATTAGACCACCCCACAATGTAAGATGTAAGCCTGCGGTCCCCCGACCCCCTGGCCACGGGCTGGTACCGGTCCGTGAGTTGTTTGGTACCGGGCCGCGAGAGTTGAGGCTCGGGTGTGAACTGTATGGTATTCAGGGATTTTATCGTTTTTTATCGTTATTTTTTTATCGTTTTTATCACTAACTCGGTTTCCCTGGGTCCATGTAATGAATAAATCTTTTTTTTTTGGTATCGGTACTGGTTTTATTTTGTTGTATTTATCCGCAACACCTTAAATGCCGGTCCATGAATATATTGTCGGACATGAACTGGTCTGTGGAGCAAAAAAGGTTGGGGACCGCTGGTGTAAGCCACACCTGCTTTTTAACAGCACTTAAGGATTTATCCATCAGCGTTAACAACTCTATAATCAAAATGCTTTTAATGCTAAAATATAATTATTGTTGTTGTTGTGAATTTCCTACTGTTTTACTGAAAAGCTGGAAAAAATAGTGAAGCACATTATAATTTCTTGATGAAGATAATTACAGTCATTTACTTGAATTCCTGGACAGATAAAATGAGTTTTAGTGGGCAGACAAATCCAGTGTGCAAGCTCAAAGTTTGGTATAAAAATGTAGATTCGCTTTGTTATTTGCCTAAAAAATAACAAAATAATTTTTTTGTTTTAACCAAAATTTTTGACAGATTAAAAAAATACTTGCGTGTTCTTACTTTCATGAGAGGTGATCAAACAAATTAATGTAAATGAACATAAAAAGTCAATCTCACGCTGAAGAGCTCTGACTTTCCTGCTGTAGATGTACAATTTGCAAACCTGCCCTCCCAGACACTAATTATTTCCAAAATGTCCTAATGAATGAATAAAATGAAGTTTAATTAATGGTAAGGTGAGCAGGGTCAGGCTGTGGCATATTCTGCGTCCCTACCTAAAGCTGAAAGGTTAATGTGAATCCTTAAGTCATTCGTTTTTATTATCATTCTTTTGCTGTTCTCTCTGGTGACTTTCATAGATAATGAGAGGCTGTCGTGTGAGCCCCCGAAGGCCTCGTCTCATTGTTGTAAATTAGAAAGAAGAGGGGAGTGCTTCATCAGCAGGGAAAATTGGATTATGATTTACTCTTAAGTGCTCCATCAGTGTAATTGCTTGTTACCATGCTCCATCTCTCAGAAGCTCCTCGGCACCTCCGGCTTTTCTCGTGGAGGTGAAAGTCAGATAAACAAGATAAAAGAGTGTAATCACTTAAATGTTGTTTGACAACTGGCCGTACTTTGTATATTGATGCAATTGGTATTGACAGTGAGGCCGATCGATATCGTCATATGAAAAGATCGCCATGCTGTATGTGATCTCCCTCGTGTCTCTTGGGGTCGTGTGTGGTGGTTGGTATGAGCATGGAAATTTAATGAGCTCTGGCATGTTTTTATTGTTGGCTGCTGTCTTTTGTTGATTTTTTTTCCGATGTCCTCCCCTCCTTACCCCTTCTAGGACTCAGATCAATTTCACTGTGGCCATTGATTTCACAGCATCTAACGGTGAGTGATACTAACAGCAAAGTGTGTATGGAGAAGGGGGGTCGGGGATAAAAATATTTAGCATTGCTCCAAAAGCGTGGCACGTCCAAATTCACAGTGACACAAACCATCACTGCAGGCATGCACGTTGTACACATAGTGTCTCTAACAGCCGATGCCCTGGAAAGTTCTTACTATATGTTTTTTGAGAGCTTAAAGGGTAATTAGAGCAGGCGTCTAAGTTTTAAAAAGCAAATAGCACCACACTTAACTGTCATTACAATACTTATTCCAGTAATTATGACTGAATGCAGTACTGCAAAAGATTTATCTACAAGTCCTAGCTGTCAGCATGAATCACAGTTATTAGGGGGGAAATATAAGTTTCCCTCTTTCCTTTTTTTTGATTTATCACAGAAGAAAACTTATTTCCTCCCTCAACTTATACCAGCCTGTTTAGTAAAGCTAGTGTTTTTAGAAGAACTGAGCAAAGATTTATGAGCTGCATCAAGCAAAACTCTGAGTTTACATAGTATAATGTATTTCTATGCATGTTTTCATATGTTTCTATAAATCCCTATACCTATTTACCATTTTCCTAGCAGACTATAAAGAAAGGAGGGTTTGCTCAAGACTTTTACACAGTACTCTATCTGTGAGTCCATATTTGAAACCACCTTCGAAGGGTTGTGAGCCACAGATGGTGTTTTCAATCAACTTGTGGCTCCAGAGTATCTGGTTAAATCTCTAGCAATAGTGCCAGATACTAATGTCAGTTCTGCTTTTGTCAACCTCCATCCCACTTTAAAGACCTGCTGCATCAAAAATATGTTGTTGTTTTTTACAGTAAATCTGCCACCGTTTCCTGTGAAGGCTGGATGTTAGAATGGAAAGCTTAGCAGCTAATAAGAAGGGTGGAATATAGCAGACAATCATTTCTGTGCTGCTTCGAGATTTGCAGTTGTGGTGTTAGTCCAGGTGATATGCAATTTGTTGTTATACCCCGGGCCCTGATAAAGTCACTTGACCAGGAAAGCAGCAGGATTTGCGCTGTCAGATAGGAAGTAATAAAACTGGTGAGCACATATCACCAGCAACCTCACTGAGGGCAATGACAGCAACATTTTCTAAACACATAAAAAATATCCCAGCTGGGCAGTTAATACTGAATGACTTTATGATGTGCCGTTACAGCGGGGCTGTTTAAGAAGGTCACAGTTGTTGATAAGCTTACAGTTTGTTACAACGACTAACAGGGGTGAACATCACAGCTCAGGCTCACTGCAGTTATGTTAATGTGATCAGTGACCGCAGCTAATTGCTATTTTTAAATGTTAGAAAAAGTCCCACCCAAAAGCAGAACCTTCGATCGATTGCACCTGAAATATGACTTTGTTGCTTGTGCATCAAGATGAGCTTATGACTGATTTATTTGTCAACAGGTAATCCCTCCCAGTCCACTTCACTGCACTACATGAATCCCTACCAGCTAAATGCTTACGCCATGGCCTTGAAGGCTGTTGGGGAGATCATTCAAGACTACGACAGTGACAAGATGTTCCCGGCTTTAGGCTTTGGTGCCAAACTGCCGCCCGATTGGCGGGTGTCACATGAGTTCCCACTGGTATATGTCCCCCACCTCATATTACCTTTGACTGAGTTTAGCTGATTTTAAATGTTTAGCTGAATAATTTCTCACTTTGACAGTAACTACAGTAAATATTGTTTAGGTTTATTTGACTTTAAGAATCTTGAACTGGATCTTGTTTCTATTTTTATCCTTTTCAGAATGGAAACATTGAAAATCCATACTGCAATGGTATTGAAGGCATCTTAGAGGCATACCATCAGAGTCTAAAGACAGTGCAGCTGTATGGGCCGACAAACTTTGCTCCTGTGGTGAACCACGTTGCCAGGTGAGAGATCCATCCAAGCTGGTGAACTCTAACAGATGCTATTTAAATACTTTTTGGGACTTTCCACATAAGTTAAAATGATTTTACATGCAAATTCAAAAAACCGTCTTGGATTCTTTATTTATATTTTCCCCTTTCTTTTCTTCTTCATCTTCTTCTTCTTCTTTTTTACCAGCAGTCATTTTTGTTTTATCCCTGTGGATTTTCCTCTTGTGGCAACTGTTTATGCTTGTCTCTCTGTTATTATGATTTATACATTATTTATATCCAAATGCTAAAAACACAGTAATATTAAAAAAAAACTCTGCAGCTCAGAAAGATTATCTCAGAAACATATTTTTTAAAACAATTTATATGCAAAGAGGCCGGCAGCCTGCGTTATAGTCTGCTCGGTGTCTCAGATAGAATCAGCTGTTGTGGGAATTTATTGGCATAAATAGTGAGATTATCTTTTCTTTATAACATTGGAGTTAAAAAAAACTCAGCTTTAACATTTTTGACTTCTTGGCTTTAACTTATCTGACCTCTCTGCTTCACAACAAACAGCATGTGATGTGCTTCAGAATGAATTTTAATTGGCTCACAGCAATCAAAAAGCAGTCACACATATAGCCAGTGAAATAAACGACCAACAATCTAAGTCATATATTTTGACCTGCCACTGTATTTACACAGCCGTGGTGTGACGGGATTCGGTCGGTGTCATTTTTTGCCCTCACTGGCACATTTGTTGAGCCAAATCCAAACAGCTCTCCATCTGATTATGACGACGCTCTAATTAAAAATGTAATTCTGATAAAAAGGTATCTCACTTTTTTAAGCTGTGGCTTTCGGCCAGTCGGTATTTAGCATTTGAATAAGTCAGCTGATTTATAAAGAGATTTATTTTAACAAAGAAATGAATCAAACGGTGAAAGAAGGCTTTGTTTTAAATCTGCTTGATCTAATTAATCGCTCTCTTCTCATGGGCTGTTTTATTGCGTGTTATCTGAAGTACAGCAATGACAAAGAACATTTTTTATTGAATTTGCATGTAGTGAGAGTGCTCGATAAGGCGTGCACTGTCATCCGTTTGTTTTCCACATCGATGTTTTGATCAATTCATTAATAAGTCTTGAAGTCAGATTTGTTTCTGTATTAAAACGATAACACGGCATCATGTAATGATGGCTTCTATCTGTGTATGCAGATACGCAGCGGCGGTGCAGGACGGCTCTCAGTACTTTGTGCTCCTCATCATCACAGACGGCGTCATTTCAGACATGGCCCAGACCAAAGAGGCCATTGTAAATGTAAGAATGGGAAAGTGGGAGAGCATTTCCTGTTCTACAAAAAAGGCTAGATACACCCAACTTGTTTTGGCGTTAATGAGGACACTTTTGAACTCAATGATGCTGTGTAGCGTAGGCTAAAGGCCATTATTTAAATAATAAATTGTAATTTAAGAATATAAACGTGCTTCCTGGAGATACAAAAATCTCAACAGTCTTATTGCTGTGCCCAACTACAAACAGAAGCTGATTAAACTTTGTTCCCTTTACTCTACTCTCTCCCATTCATATTTCAACATGCTCAGTATTTCCTTTGCTTAGAGGGGACTATGTGCACTTGTTTCACTTCGGCAAAGAATGACAGCATTCACTGTTTTCTGCTGTCAGTAACGACGCTAGCACCAGTTCTTCTCTCCTCTGCTCCCTGTTTCACCATATCTGTATGCATATGTGTGGGCAGAGGGGAACATGGAGTAGAGCAGAGCAGACAGATGTAGTGGAGATTAAAAAAAATAGTTGAATTGCCAGCAGCTCATTGCTGTCGGTGCTGATAGAAGCGAGGCTAGTGCTGAGCTGAGAACTAGCAGCTCCTGCTGATAACATTACAGCTGCACCTTCTAACAAGCAAAGACAGAAGGGCTTTGACTGATTCACGGTGCCAGAGACGAAATTCACCTATACGCACCACAAGAGGTTACTTTGTTTGTCTTCATACAATCTTGTAGCAGTAAGGAGCACAATCAAACTCATTTTTCATCAATATGGAGCAACAAAACTGGTGTAGTGTAAAATGAAGTGCAGCAATAAATGTTGTTTTTAGCTGATTTTAGGGATGATTATGCGGTTAAGTGTGCACTGATTGCATGACAAACTCAAGGTTACAGCAAGAGGGCCAGGCAGCCTGTTTCACTGTTTCTAAGCTACAATGAGCTAATCAACTGTTGGCGCTAACTTTTCATGAGGTATCAAGTAAAAGTTTACTGATTGAGAAAATTACATATAGCTCTGTTGCTCAGTACGTCCTCAAATGTCTTATTTAGTCTGACCTGCTGACTGACAATCAATGGACGTGTTAGCTGCAGCTATTCAGCTGCTCTTGGAAATAAAAATTGTTATGTCTCCGATCAGCTCTAGCATGGCCTAAAACTTCTCTGTGGTTTTCTCTTCGGTCCATAGAACAGCACTGTGGTTTAATAATGGCCGCTGCAGTACGCAGAGAAAAAGGACTGGAATCATGGCTTTGAGCAAGCCGCATGTTTAGAACTGTAATTACACGTTTAGAAACTTTCTCATCAATGATACATAGACCATTAAATTACCTTAAGGTATTCCCTTTCTACCAGTGGACTATTAATAAATACGAGATGTGAAAAGATGAAGGGCATCTGGCGTAAAAAATTTGCTAAATCAAATATGCGGAGCTCCCCGCTGTGGCGACCCCCTGTGAGTAAGACAGCAGCTGAAAGTTTGGCTTATTTATACTGCCTCAGTAAATAAAGCAGCACAGCATTGTGTATTATTCCTCAGAGCTTCCCCCCCAAACTTGTCCTCACACCTTTCTTTCCCCAGCCTAAAACAGTAGGTAGCTGCTGTTCTCCCCTTTTCCTTTTCCTCCGTCTCTTCCCCTTTTCTTCCACTCCTCCTCAGCCTGCCACAGGCACAGAACACCCAGCAGACTGGATTTAAAGGGAATTTGCGACTGTTAGTCAAAACATTAGAACAGCCACACCTTCCTTTTAAGATCTTGCCTGCTGCTCTATCGCACTGCCTCCACCTCTTCTGATCTACTGATGCTTGCTGCTTCCACTGCTTGCCTTTTTACCCTCCACGGATCCCGGGCGAGGGAGGACACATGTGCTGAGGTTATATAAGCCTTTCTCATACATATTCACACTTGAAGAAAGATCTAAGAAACAGAGTGAGAGGAAGTGAGTGCCTGAGTTTATATTTGTACACATGTACGACAACTGGAGAGCGGTGTTTGCGGTATGTCTGGTTAACATGTGGACATGTGGCTTATCATGCGGGTTTATCAGTCACAACTGATTCTGCTGCATTAGAGAAATCCACCTGTCAATCACTCAGCAGCCCCCTCCTCTGCTCGGGTTGCTCTGCTGCCTCATTTTCTTTACCTCTGTGGAATCATGAGTCTCCCTCGCTCACACACACAAAGACCTGCTGTCTCGCTCCATCTTTTTCCCACTCAGAGATCTACACCTCTTTGTCTTCATCTGCACCCTCCATACTTCTGTCACCACATTCAGACTATAAAAAAATCCTCTGCTGCCTTTGATTTCCTTCCTTTCTCATCTTCTTCTTGTTATCTGTCTGTGCTTTGTGCTCTGTCTCTTTATCGGTGCAGGGACCCAACAAAAGCACTTCACTTCACAACCATTTAACCTCCATTTTTTTTTGCACTGTTTAGATGTTGATGCGAAATCAAGTTTATGGTGCAGAGAAATGAGCCCTGTTGAAAGAAAACTGAAGTTATGTGGATGCAGCTGCAGTTTTTTTAAGTTAATTATCCTCCTGAAATGGAAGGACATAATTTGAGTTTCAGAAGTAGCGGCTGCTGGATCTCTGTAGAAAGCACAGCTAGTAAGGGAAACACAGCTCATTGCTTTTCAATGATTGTTAAAAGATTCAAATTCCTGTGGTAACAGTTCGTGTATATGACACGACCTTTTCAGCATGCGTCTGTCATGACCGGCATAAAAAAGTCGAGCATATAATACACGACACCTGGGAACATATTTATCACTCAGTTTTTATTTTTGAACAAATGGGCGTTTGTTTTCTGACAGACTCACAAAAAAGAGCTTTTATGTATTCAGATAAATAATCATTAAGGAAAATGAGCATGATGTAAACTGAATGTATACCAATGAAGGAAATTTCATTAGATTTTTGCAGGTAAGTCAAATGGTTAAAAAACAGCATTTTGATGCATATAGTAGCTACTCTGACTTTATCAGCTGTATTCAGCTACATCCTTTATCTAATGTAGGTTTTTCATACTTGCATCCTGGAAGTGAAAGCACAGAGTTTAAGGTTTTCATCAACTGTCTTCGTCAGTCTTTGTATGTTTATGTGATATCGCATATTACAATCCTAAAGACGATACTCAACTGAAAACACGAACCTACTCCTGCGTTTCTCTGTAATGTAAGGGAATATTTATTATAGTGATGCTCCTTATTGTCTCCTTAACAGATGGACCAATCTCAACAAAACATTGCATGAACATCGTCACACATACAGCAATTATTAACGTGTATATGTTTTAAAAAACATTTATTATAAATCCCAGTTCTTTTTATTTTTTCATCCATGCAAATGCAATGTTAAATTCTCTATTTACGTCTATTTGTGTTTCACGGTCACCAAAATTTGCATCCAAGTGTAATTTTCTTCATGTCACTGCTGAATATGAAGAATCTGAAAAAGCACCATAGGCCAGGATAGTAGTAATAATAGGAAACAATATACAGCTAGTGGCTAGAGAGAGGGACAAAAATGAACTATAGGGCTAACCTGAATGTTTTGTGAGAGGAGTAACCTTCCCCGTAATGTACATATGTTTGTCACACAAGCACTGTCATGTTAGTGATCACTGTGATGCTGAGAAAACTGTATTCAATATAAAAAACATTTTGTGGGTAAAATCTGATTACATTCAGCCACATTCTTCTTAATGCAGTCAATACTAGTCTGTCAAGATGTGAATGATAGTGGGCTGCTTTGTTTAATAACTGGCTGAACACAGAATACACTCTGACAGTTCAAAGGTAAGGTCTGCACTCACTGATAATTGTGTTATTTTTAAAAGTCTTCGATCCTAAATTTTCCTCTGAGCTGACATCTGAGGCAGCCAATGTCAGACAGTCTAGTAACATAGCTGACCATGTGTGAATGAAATGGTTATTACTCTAAACATAAATCCATAAAGCCCCTTAAGCTCATATGTGTAATTGCAATAACACAATCACTCATCAAAGCATGCACATGCCTGGCATTTGAATTTAAGAAGCACAAACAAAGTGAAGTTGCAAGTTTTGACTGACACTTTGTTTTGTTGTCTCATTAGACTGGATCTCTACTGCAAAACAGGGTGACAGGAGGACTGCAAAAGTGGGGCATGGTGGATTGCCAGGTTATTTTTAGTGGCATTTGATGTTGAGATGTGTGTGTCTCTGGCTGCGCATACACTTACGGATATCTGCGAGTATGAGTGGGAGGACAGGCACTGACAGGAGTCGCGTTGAACACTGATAATCGCGTTGATGTGATGTGGCTGAGGTACTGAGGACACAAACTGCTCTCATCCCTGTGGGAAAAAAAGAGGTTGCCTGATTTGCCACAGTGCATTTGTCTTGTGCCAGCAAGTTTAACCCTGGTGATGTGACTGCTTTGTAAAAAATATGTGAGTCTAGGAAACCTAATTAGATGTAACAGGAGATTTTGCATTGAGCTTTCATGGTGTCATTTATGCGGAAAGGCCACTTCTAGACATAAATGGATAAAGTACAATGCTTAGAATATTAATTTATGTCTAATATTTATTTCTACAAATAAAATTATACAACATTTCACTTTTCGTGGTTGCAAACTCCACAAAGATTGACTCCTAAGCTAGTTGGGAGAAAACATGCTGTCCAGATGAGCACTGAATAACCTTTCCCCTTTAGCAGATATCCTGATTGTGAAAATGGCATTCTAACATACAAACATCTAATATACAAATATTTGTTTGTATCACCAGAAGTTTACAAGTTGTTGCTTATATAATAACGTATGGGGCAGCATGGTGGGGAAGCGGTTAGCACTGTTGTCTAACAGTAAGAAGTTAGCCGGGGTTAGGTTAATTGGTTACGTTAATTAGGCAGCCGGCATGTCCAAGATGTTCCCCATCTCTCTTCCCATGGCAGCTGGGATAGGCTCACTCCCTCTGCCACCCTAAATGTTCTCTTTGTTACACTTGCACACTTTCATGGTACTGTGCAGATAGCTGTGTTTCCAGACTGACTCCATTGAGATTCGGGCTCTGGGAGGTTCATGCCGTTCTTTGTGGAAACTTGTATGCGTGTTGTCATGCAGTGGAATAAATTTGTGACCAATAGGATGGTTCCCTAGTGATGCTGCATAATGGATGGAAGACAATGTAATGTGTCATGATAGAGCGATCCAGTGGTTAAGTGGTAAGAACCGTCACTTCAAAGCATCGAGGTTCTGGGTTAAACTTTTATGGGTGGATTTTCTATCTGGGCCTCCCTCCGGGTACTTTGGTGTCCTAATTAGTCTAAAGACATGCAATTTATTGATGATTGTAAATTGCCCACAGGGTTGTGGTCAATAAAGTGCATAGATAAAGTGATGCATGAGTCATTAAATGTGGCTAGACTATGAAAGTACTCTATAAATGCCAGTTTATTTCCAAGTGCCTTTTGGTTGCACGCTGCACGTGTTTATATCTCAGCTGGATGAAGTTTGTTTTTACTTTTCATTCTTTCTTTTCATTTCTTTTCATCTACCTAAGTGAAAAATACCAGCAAATCTAATGAATGCAGGACAGCCCCGCATGTTCCACTTGTAGCTTGTGCAATTATGTGCACATTAATTGTTGACTAGACATATACACCCACAGAAGCTCTCTCACACAGACTGGTAAATTACAGCACAGTGAGAAATAATTTAGGAAATGTAGCAGCACCATATTATTTGCTGTTGTGTTCATTTATTTTCCATCAAAGGTTAGTGCCGATCTCTTCCACAGTATCAAGACCAACTGCACTCGACATGAGTCCCCAGTGTGGCCTGGGAGTGGCTGGGTGGGTGAATGAGGATGGTTGCCCTAGTGACTGAGTTGGCACCTCCTCCCTCTCCCTCTTCTCCTGGTTCATAAATGCGACCATCCAGCTGTTTTCCCTTTAGTCTCAGCCAGCTTCGTAGTTTCACACTTCTGTTCGGCATTCATCCAGGCGGCAAATTCCGACATAAACGTCTACAAATATTTGTGTGAAAATAAAAAATCTGCCACTTTTAGCTATTAAAACAGCATGAGATACCAGTGTGGCATTTCAGATGACACTACTAGTGTTTTCAGTGAGTTAATCTCCATTCCTCAGTCTGACAATCAGCATTTAATGGTCCGTTGCTGAGTGAAGCCTCTACATAACAGCTGGTGTCATTCAAATGACAGAAAATTGGATTCTGAAATATCAGAAATCTGGGATAAGTTTAGGAAAAAGTATAGATATTTTGCATTAGCATCTTGTTTCATTAGCTTTTCGAGCTGAGCTCTTGCTTCTTTCTCCCCCTTTTATGTTTTCTCTGAAAGTCTGTTCTTACCCAAAGGTCATTTAGCTAGTTAAAGGTTGATATAGACCTTTTCTGCTGCTGCAGTCTGCTGCATGTAAAAGAGCGTGTAACTAGTACAATGTCATTATGTCACTGTAATAGGCACAAGAGGTTAGTGGTAATGGTGACAAGCTCTGTGAGCTAGAAAAAAATTGAGTCGTTTCATTTCTATTTCTCTGCAGGGTGCCAAGCTTCCTATGTCAATCATCATAGTCGGAGTGGGTCAGGCTGAGTTTGACGGTACGTTAGCTTTAAATTTTTACCTTTAGAATGATTGTAATTGTAAAGACCTGGTTTATTAAGGAGGTAAAGCGTTTATGTGCGTGTCAAAATAAACGTGTGATGAAAATTATTATTATTATTAAATTACATCATGCATTATCTTCTGGAGTAATGAAAGAACTGATATAGCTGTGAGACAGCCTTTATCAGCCAATCAAATCAGGCAACCAGTGTATCAGTCATTCTCCACGAATAATTGACAATTTAATTCAACTCGCAGTCTGTTATAATAAGAGCTGGTTCTAACCTCACTGGCACTAATTCTGAGAAATACCAGAGAGAAAATTACTGTACAAACTCATTTGTCTCAGTAGAGAAAGGAATGAGGAGGTGGATGCAGGCATAATTGTAGAAGAAATGGCTGGGGTTAATTGCTGGGTTTGCAGTATTTAGTGCTGATGATTCTAAATTGCACAGTCTATATTAAAGGACTTATTAGTTGATTAGACATGCAAAAAAGAACAATTATAGCTTTTACTAGTGCTAAAAGATCATATTTAAATTAGGATTTTTATCATCTGTGATAAATAAACCTTTTAGTGTAAGAACCTTTTGTCACAAAGGCAGCTGCCTCTAACCAGTTTTCACACTATGTGTGTGTGTTTGTGTGAACTTGTGTCTTCCAGCTATGGTGGAGCTGGATGGTGATGACATCAGGATCTCATCCCGGGGGAAACTGGCAGAGCGAGACATAGTTCAGGTGACTGGCCTTTACAGCATGAAACAAACTTTGGCTGTATTCATTGCACGAGTCTGAGAATCACGTTAGGGTCAAAGGTCATGGAATTTACACAGAATATCTTTTGTCAGTGAAGAGAGAGACAGAAAACAATGGTGAATTATATCCCCCCCACGAATCATTACAAGCAATAACAAAGGGTAAAAAAAAGTCTTTAAGAGTAATTTATCAGACTATAGAGGGAAAATATGTCTTTTTGCTCAAGCACATTCATTCTCCTAAGGGAAACCATATCAGAGGATTAGTGACGGATGAGCATCCTAAAGCTTTCAGGATCCTGCAAATGTTGACTAACATAGGGGCTTAAACATGAGCCTCAGAGATTTCTCCGTGCGGTGTCCCACCCTGCTCTCCAAACCTGCTTGTGTACAGTGTCAAAAAGTATTAGGAGCTTTCCATGGATCACAACAGTTGTCCAATAAGCCCGGATGATATTATATCAGCTAGGCAAAACCATGTGCTCTTTAATAGTTTCCCACATCACACCACTCTGTATCGACAAACTTTAAATATTAAATCACTGTCATTTCAAATCATTTTTATGTCTGTTGTTTTTCCTCAGTTTGTTCCTTTCAGAGATTATATGGACCGGACAGGTAACCACGTACTAAGCATGGCACGACTTGCTAAAGATGTGCTAGCAGAGATCCCTGACCAGTTCATCTCTTACATGAAGAGCCGGGGAATCAAACCCAACCCGGCGCCACCTCCTTACACACCGCCGGGACACACACATCACCACACTCAGATCTGATGCCCTCCTCTTTGGCTTTTCACTGAGGACTGACAATAATCAGCAGCTTCTCAGAGTTCAGTGGAAACTCTCTGCCTCCTGTTTTTTTTTTTTTTGTGCAAAAGGAGAAGGGGCACCACGAAACGGGTGTTGAATTTTGTGCTGTACACTCCAACGACTATTGGAGTAGTACTTTCTGTTTTCCTGTGATATATTCCTCTGTTTGGTTTCTCTTGAAGAGAAACTACAAACCTTTCAGGACTCGTGGGTAAAAGCCTTTTAGGCTGTGACTGTTTCATGTCCAATATGACAGCAGGTTGGTTAAAAACGATCATGTTGTGGTTAAAACTTGTGCCTGTTTGTGGTTGTTTCTCTAAGTGTATCAGGACATGTGAACTTTAACCTGAACCTTGCTCGTCAGTCACTGGTGTGGCCTAATACAGTGAAATTTTTTAGGCACCTTTTTCCCTTCTGGAATAAGTTTTTATATTTGGGAATATTTCTGTATCTGCTGATGCAACCGTTATGAAGAAAGAAAAGCCGTAAGAGTGTCGTTTACAATTTATTACCCTGAAGATTAATCAGGCTTGTCATACCATGACACTTCACCACCTGTCCTTCAGAGATTTAGCGAGTAAATGTTTATAAGAGCATGTCATATAAGAGTTTAAGGCACATAATCCAGTATTTATTCTCAAATGTTATTCAGAGTGGCATGGACCTTTGATAGATTGTTTTAACACCATAAAAATCTACCCATTTTGAAGTGGTCAACAGTTACTTTAAGTGAGTTGGATTGAAAAGCACAACCTGACTACACACAAGTGTAAGAATTATGAAGATAAAAGGTTAACCCCACTTAATCATTCTGCTGCTATTCATTGTGTTTGAAGAAACTACAACTGAGATACTTTTGCACCACAATCAAAGGTGCATGTAACTTTCTACACACAAGTTTTAATACAGAGGCTTGTTCACCACAGGATGTGTTGCACATGAAGAGCATTAACTACAGCCCCATTTCCAAAAAAATTGGGAAGCTGCATAAACTGCTAATAAAAACAGATTGTTGTGATTTCTAAATCATTTACAGTAATCCCTAGATTTACTTGAAAGTGCTACAAACAGATAACATGTCTGTTGAAAGAGACAAATCATTTTTTGGGGGGAAAAATATTTCTTCTTTTTGAATTTCATGCCAGCAACAGTCTTCAAAAACTTTGTGTCAGCGCCAAGAAAAAAATGGGTAAGTTGTGTTGAGGCTGAGTCTTTCAGTGCGACTGCTCTTCTTCATTCTGTGTCGGCAAAGAGTTTCACAATTGAAGAAGGTCTCTCCCGGTAAATAAAAAAATATTGGGATTTCATTATCTTCCATATATAATATTGTAATGTCTGGAGAAATCTCTGTAACACAAGAACAAGGCTGACACCCAATGTTGTATGACAACCATGAAGTTCAACTGCCTCAAACGCCCTTTATTTAAAAACAGACACAATTCTGCAGAAAGAATTACAGACTGAGATCAGCAAAACTGTAAAACCCAGGAAAGCTGATGTAATGCTTTGGATTAGATGTATGGTAATCCCTTTGTTTTAATATTTCCTGAGCAATCTTCAAACATTGCATCTTTCTCCTGCCTTAACAGATGCTGCATGAGCTCATAGCTAATTTGCATGCGGTTACAGAATGTAAGTACCAAGGCCATTTCTCAGTTGTTACTGCTTATCCCATATTTAAAACCTAACAAAATGTGCTTTTAATAAAAAAAGAAATGAAAGTTCAAAGAAATGCAGCTGTTAAACTGTCAGAGCGTGTTCTGAAGCAGAAGCAGAACACGTGACTCTGAATGTTTAAATTGCAATTTTGTACATGTTTGTCCATATAGCAGAATAGTCACACCCCTAAACATGCCCCTTTTTCTTTTTTCTTTTATATATTGCTGGCATTGAATCCAAAATACCCCCCCCCAAAAAACAAACAAACAAAACAAAAACAAACAAACAATCACATTATTTGATATATTGTCATTTTTTAATGGCATTAATTGCTGCATTCTGTTTTGATTTACATTTTGCACAATACCAAGTGGTTTTGGAAAAGGATGGTGATTTACTGTAATAGCTTTTAACCATTGAATCCTATAGACTTTTCTTTTTACTTATTTTGAAGTGCACCATAAATATAAAATATATAAGATCGTACATTTAAAAAAAAAAGTAAGTTGGAAACAAAAAAAGATGATCACACATTTTAACAGTATATATATGTATAAATACTATCCAGTGTTAGGTTTCCAACCTGACCTGATCTGAGTTTTAATATCTCCCGCATATTAACTGTCGAGCAATTGCTTTGATTTGCCTTATTTTTAAATAAAACAAATAATGTTATCAGCACACATGTTGATAGCAAAGGGCATTGTTTTAAATATAATCACATATTTCTGATATTTTACACTGACAACCATTAGGACAACTGAGTGGCCAGTAGTTACATAAATATGTTCCCTAACTCATTTTCCGTCCCAGTAGCCGGTTATTTTAGCCTTGATGCTATTCTTAACACGCCACCTCTGCAGCCCAGACACTTTCACTGACAGTGAAAACCTGTAAGCCCCTGGTGATCACGCATCAGCAGCCACAAAAGCTCCATCCTCATAAACTCCTCCCGAGAGATTTTCATGTAATATAGAGCCGTCCTCCCTGCACCTTATAACAAGTATCTTCTGGCAGATAGTTCAAAAGCAGTTTCCAAAGCTTCACGATGTATTACATTTAGTGGGCAAGAAATCCTTTAATCTGTGCAAAACACTTTCAAGTTTTTGTTTTAATTTGGCTTTCTGTACAATCTTAAAACCTCTCGCATATCCAGTTTTACAGAGTTTATAAGATTCCTCTTTCCACAACAATGCAACAATGATCCATAAAGTCTTTTGATTGTAGCTGTAAAATAATGAAGTAAAAGGTTTTTGTAATGGAAGAAATTGAAATGATATCATTATACATGCACAATACATATAATACGGGATTACAGTCGTAAGAAGACACAAAGTATTTATGCTTTAGTCAATTACAGTATTTCAGTGTTATGCTTTGTTTAGTATTCATTAGCAACACCACCTGCCTTTCTACTTTAAGCTTTGTTTACTTAAGGAACAGGAAGCATCGCTACATTTATACAAATCACTGAGGAGGGCTATATTTGAAAGCAGCCTATACATGCTGCATAAAAATGAATTTGAAAGGGAGGCGTCTGCGTCCACTTTTAGTTCATTCCATCTTTCATAACGTCATTGTTGCATAGTTTGAAACAGGATCCAATTTTGGTCAAAATTGAAATATGTTATGCTGCAGTCACGCTAAGGAAAACAGTGATTGGAGACTAAAGCACAACCAAATCTTGCAGTCTTGTTGCCTTTGAAACGGCTGCTTTAAAGACGGGGATTGGGTCTGCGACCAGGCGACTTCAAAACCACTTTGGTGATAAAATGACTATAAGATAGAGTCAGTCTGCTATCAGTTTGTGACTGAATGGGGTCAAGCTGGGAAGTACATCTATTTATGGTCATACGGCAAAAACTGGAAATATGCTGCCATCTGCATTCACAGAAATTCACATTGAATAGAAATTTGAATTCGTTAGTTAACTTCAGAGTCTAGCCAGAACTTTATAGATTTAAAACAGAGATTTAGACCTTTCTCCATGAATGGTGACATAGTTGCTGCAGCACAATGATTTAACTGCAGAGTGACACCGGCGCTTTGAACCAGTACAACCAGAATACAACCAGCTGAGTCAAGGACCTTACTGCAAACAGACAGGTCACTGACGAGGTGCATCAATATTTTGCAGACAGGTTGCCTCCCACCAGGCAACCTGTGCAACCACCTTGCAGTTGAAAGAGGTCTACAAGAGACTTAAACCTTAAATTCCTAGTCACAAGGAGGTTGCTTTCCTGTTTTTACTCTGTGACTGAGACAATAATAACTTAACGACAGATTTCTAGATGACTTGCTTGTGTTTATTTGATTTCTCTCAGTAGTAATAAACGGCTTCTGAATGCTAGCTGTATCATCTTTTTCTATGTTTGTCTCTCTGACTGTAGTCATTATTCATCTCTTAGTATAATTATTTTGCATTCACATTGCTCGGTTTCCTAGTTTAACCTTCATGTGCCCTTCCTTGGTGTAGAGTAAAAAAAGAATAAAGGAAAAACAAGCCTAAAATGAGCAGCCTACAGCAGACAGTAAAACAATGCGTTTTCCTTTTTTAAACGGATAAAGCCAGACAGAAGCATAATTCAGCTGAGCTAAAAAGGTGTCCCTTCAGGTGTCTAATGTAGCAAACAAAGAAGGCCTTAAATAATGTGAAAGGCAGTCTCTCTGTCTCATTTAGTTCTGTACAGAGAAGCAGCTCAGGTGGAGAAGTAAGTGGAGGAGAGAAATTTGATAAATGGGGGTCAAAATGGAAACAGCAATCTGGTTGTTTGTGCGACGTAAAAGAAGAAAGCGTCTGTTTTGTCTGAATTTTGAAGTGTATTATAACAGCTTGTTCACATCTAACACTTTATGTTTGAGAGGAGTTCCTACTGTATATGGTTAATATATTTTTTGGCAATATTATTGTATTGAAGATATCTATTGATTTATTTTTGAAGTTTTTATGATAAGCCATCACTCCCCTCTTCTATGTCATTATGGTGACTTCATCTTTTGCCCAAAGCCTGATTTATTAGTAGGATTATCCACTGCATGTTTGCTTGAGGTACTGTAAGAGTGTTTCACTCATGTTGCCATGATCTGTATAAAAATTGGACCCAGCCCAACCAGATTACATACATTACTGTGCCAAACATGGCAGTTACAGTGGACTGTTTGCTATTCCTTCTTTATCATGCCTGGTTGTTCAAACATTTCCTGTCTCACCAGTGGTTGAAAAAAACTGTAGCTAATTTGCATGTTACAGTTAACACTTTATTTATTTATTTTTTTGTCTAATTTAACAAGCTATATTTGTTGTTTATATCTCTTGTATTTTCCGATTAGCATGATTCCCTATTTTTATGTTAAAAGGGTTTTTATTGTACATGATTATTGTCATATGGTGGGTTGTGAAATGCTTTGTATTGGATTGCCTTAAATGAAAATTAATTAAAAAAATTGCTACTTTTACAAATTTTCTTTAAGTGTCATTCTTTAATTTTTTATTTTTTTTTTATAAAGAAAGAAATATCCTGAAACAATGTAGCGGGTTTGCTCACAGGTTTCATAATACAATTTATGATCAGTGTATTTATATGACCACATGAAGGATGGGTCACACAGTTAACGGTTTCTGGAGTCACTTGGACTAAAGATACAAAAAGTCTTTTTTTGAAGTTATTTAACAACAAAAAAAGAATGTCGTACTTAAAAATATACATTGGTTAGTGCGTAATTACATCTTCCAACAAAGTTTAGTGTTCTTGTGAGCTTACAATTAATCCAGGGACACGTTTGCGGAAGCCGCCGTATTGCCACACCATCTTGAGTACATTTGTTGAGATGGACATCACCATTCTGCCTAATTACATTGTACATATATGGATAGAAAGCAGCATAATGCATAGTATGTGAGCAGGGAAAGTTTAGGTGTTCAGGTGCAGTGGAGGCAAATTTTCGGTACACTCATTACAGATGAATGGTAGCCAGTTTTAGATCACTGTTCTTGGTGACTCGCCGCCTTGAGGTGAGTCAGAGGTAAAAATGTAGAGAACAGCAAAATATGTTCAATATTGTTTTTCTGTTTTGTTTTTTTGTTTTTTCAGAGGCAGGATTAATATTTTATATGTCATGTGGCTGACTAAAACATGGTTGTCCTACAGCAGCCACTGTAGCTAGGATTATGCCCTTCAATAGGGAGTGCTAAAATCTACTATCTACTGACATCTACCAATTTTAGACACTGTCGTCCTACAGTGTGATTTTATTTATGTTTATTTGAGACCCTAAATAGCAATTTATGATCTAAATTACCATGGATTTTAGATATTATGTTTAACTTCATATAGGAAGATGTGAGACTATTTCTCTATTTATTTCTACTGACAATCAAAAAATTTGAGAAATACTGTGACTACAGGTCATTATGGTCTGTGCACAGTGTTTCTATATGCAGAAATACATGAGATGCATAAACAGAGCTGCTCTCAACCATTATCACTAAATAGTATTAGAATGTATTTTTTATTTTTTTTAGAAATAAATAAATAAAATAAATATTATAATCAGCCCTTACCAATTCAGTGTACATTTGCTTCCGGGTAGATTTCTGATTTCAAAGATACTTGCAGTATGCCTGAAGCGTCAGTGTCCTAGTTTTCCAAGTTATTTCTTTAACTCCAAATAACTGCTGTCCTTTACATTAAAGTTTATCTGTTTTAGATTAAGCAAGCAAGAGGACAACTTTTACTTCTCTTCTTTTGATGCTATTTAAAATATATGCAAACAGATGTCAAGTTAAAGGAAACCTTAATAAATCGGCAAAGAGACACTCGAGTCCACACAGGATCATTTTTCTCTCCTGCATGCAGTTAAAGTGTCTGCAAAGAACCATTGAATCTGTTCTGGGAAATTTTAATGGCTTAACTAAGACACTTAAGCCATTTGCAGGCATGCACTGCAGCCCTGAAATTTTCTACACGGCGAGCCATATGTCAGAACGCAAATGCCCAACGCAGACCAATCTGACATTAAATGGTCTCTAATCTGACAGCTCTTTGAATGTCACTTTACTTTGAAGGTTCGGACATGTACTAATTACAAAACACTTCTGGATTTCCAGGTTTTCTTTAATAATTGTAGTTTATCTTTAATTAATAAATTTTTTATCTTGCATCATATTCTGTGTTAAAAGTCTTGTCTCAGCTGTCTGTGGTGGAGGAGGAGGCAGGGGTGACACATGTCATAAAATTTAATCAAGCTGAATGTAAAATAACACATCCACTT